TTTTTAAAATGTGCCTAGTATGAAACTTTGAGGTTCCAGAAAGTAAAGGGACAGAATTGTTGAATATTCACCATTATAACTTTTACTGTTGTTAAAACTGTGAAGTAAATTAATCCTCAAAGGCTTTATCTAAAATCTATAGGATGTGTGTAATTCTATCCTAGATGTTTGTGGATAATTCCCATGAATGCAAATGGGAGTTACATATACTCACTGAAGCAAAGTAAGCCCTTCGCGAATAATATTTTAGGATCCAAAATATCCCATGCAGCTGATTCAAATAAGCGTGTTTAGTACAGCAGAAAAGATATTCCCAGTGTCAGCTAAGACATACAGATCGTTGTAAACTTTAAGGGAAGCTCTCTCTATCACTCAGGAGGATAGAAATCCTCATATAAATCTAGGGCTAAAGCATCCCCTCCTGCAACAAGATTACAGGAAAAGTAAACTTACTAGGGAAAGTTCATGTGGCTTCCTCTCTGGCGTTTCCTAGCTATTGTCTCATCTGTGGGGTGGTGTTGTGGCTTTGCAAAGAGCACATTGGGAATGGTCTGTGAACTGCATGGATTCTGAGTTCTTGAGGAAGCAGAGTGTCTAAAGTTTCAGTGTGATATTTTTATTGGGGCTTACTCTCTTTCTCAAATATATTTACCGACTGGTCTCTCATCACCACTCTGTAGAATTCTCAAGGAAGCAAGGAGTCTCAGGTTTCAGTAAACAATTACTCCAACAACATAATGGGTGAAACCAGAGTCAATATCTTACTCAGAGAAATCCTAAACTCTCTGTCTCCCTGTCTCTCTCTAGCCGCCTCCTTGTTAGAAGTCTGAAGAGTCCATAAGTAGACACTAGGCCACACTGAGGATCAATGGAAAATTCTGTTATCAACCCATGCAGAGGGCTTGTCCCTCCGTGTTGCTTCTCACCTGCCCTCACCATCACGGCTGGCTGAGGAACAGTCTGGACCGCTGATTGCCTCCCTACCTGTGCTTATGTTCCCCTAACCATTAAGGGGGTAGAATGCTCAGAGTGGGAGTTAGAATTAGCTTAGGTTTTAATATACTACCCAATGCTATGGTATCTAATGAGGAGCAATGACTCCCTCTAAAATGTCTGTCAGAAATGGGTTTACCAGAGGAACAAAGTTTTCATAGAATCATAGAATATCAGGGTTGGAAGGGACCTCAGGAGGTCATCTAGTCCAACCCCCTGCTCAAAGCAGGACCAATCCCCAGACAGATTTTTGCCCCAGATCCCTAAATGGCCCCCTCAAGGATTGCACTCACAACCCTAGATTTAGCAGGCCAATGCTCAAACCACTGAGCTCGATACATCCCCACCCAATAAACCCAAGGTCTCATCTATAATAGCCTTTTAGACTGAGGAATGTCCCAACATTTCTTCCATCTCAATAGTGGTACCACTAATCTAGATAAGGCATCAGAATCTTTTTTACCACCATGCCATACAGACTTCTTCTGAGCAGAATAATATGACACTGGTTAAAATGTTGGTGGCTATCCAGAGATCTGTCTACACTACCTTTCCCACAATTGCTACTATTAGTGCAGAAGATCCAGTGTTAGCAACATCAAGGCATTTTTCAGGAAAAAAAGTAGTGTGGGCACACACAACCATTGTTTGTGTAGAATGTCTGCCCTGGACTCAGAGAGAAGAAGGACAATTCTGCTTTGGCTTGGTTGCCCTGCCTCTGATAATTATGGGGCCATCATGGCAGATTATCCAGACTCTTAATCCCCTCCTCACTGGCACACTTTAAGGGACAGTTCAGTCCTAAGTATCTTCTTATAATTCTCTAGAATAGTCTTTAGTTTAATTGACATCAGTTTTTAATGCTTTTACCTAATAGGCTTAGAAACAGTGCCATATGTAGCACTTACATCTCCATTTAGTAAATGTACTTTCTTTGGCATGGAAGTTTATTGTAGCCAAATGGGTTTGGTGTGAGCTAATAACTATGACAGAGATACTAAAATGCGTATGTTAAAACTGGGCCAAGAAACTAAACCCAGCCCTGAGAGAGGCCAGAAATCAAAGAACTTGGCTATCGCTTCATGATAATCTCATGTGAGTCTTCAACACAGAGCATGTTAACATGAGAAATAACAATGGCTGCATGTTGTGTTGACTAATAAATATATGGTATGTGGAAGTGATTAATTGAGACTGTGTCCAACTAGAGGAAGGATGTACCCACATCTAATTATGATCAGCATAAGAAAAAACTTGTTTAAATTGTTTTTATTTTTTATAGAATAAATTCATCCCGTTGTTTCAGGAGACATGTGTAATCTGTCAGGGATGATAAATAGACACAAACGTCCATCAGGGTTGTCTAAGTGTATTTAATCCTATCTCAGCATGGGAGACTGGACTAGATGACCTCCTGAGGTCCCTTCCAGCCCTATGTTTCGATGATATACACCTCTACCCCGATATAACGCTGTCCTCGGGAGCCAAAAAATCTTACCGCGTTATAGGTGAAACCGCGTTATATCGAACTTGCTTTGATCCACCGGAGTGCGCAGCCCCGCCCCCCTGGAGCACTGCTTTACTGCGTTATATCCGAATTCATGTTATATCGGGTCACGTTATATTGGCGTAGAGGTGTATAATATTTAATGTAATTGCCCTTTAGATTCCCCACCACTACTGTTCTGTTCCTGATATGAATCTCTTTTGCAGTAGCAATATTGGTTCTTAGGAAATTTTGGTGGGTGAATTTAGTATACATCACAATGTGTGGTTGACAGTTCTTTCTAAATCCAAGCACAGTGAGAACAGGTGCTATGCAAGCTTTCCACTCACCACTCTGCTGATGCAATTGAATTCTTACTTGCAACATCCACAGCCATTCTCATCCTGGACCTTTCTTTAGCAGGTGTTGCTACTCACACCAGATTGTGTAACATGCACAAATGTCTATAAGGGTCTTTGATGAGAATGCAAACTCTTCATCAGCTGTGATTCTAAGAATTGGACTTGAATCTCTAGAAATGAAAAACCAGTTCACTGTGCTGCCTACTCTCCTCCCATCCCAGACAACCTCCTGCTGAAGATTTGGTGTTCTTGACTTAAAAAAACTACACTATAGAATCTCATTATTAGTAGCTTTTTCTTAATTTTTATCCCAATAAAAAGGATTTAAATACAATAGCAATTTCTCCATGTGAGGATTCAGTTATATGCTGGATGTTTGGTCAAATGGGTGACTTGGGTGAGGCAGCAGGACTTCTTCTAACCAGTTTTAAGTGACTGTGACTCATTCTGAAACATGTATTTCACTAGACTAGATATACACATTAATCTGTTTTCTAAACTGGTTCCTTATACTGATTTCCCAGGTACAAACCAGGATGTTAGCATTTTCCAATCTCTGGATGAGATTGATTGCAAGTCAAAAGGAGTTAGGTGTCTAATTCGCTTAGGCCCTTTCGAAAAAATCCCACCCTGTGTTATTAAATACTAATAACCATAAGTAAATTAAGAACTCAGAGGGACTTGCCTGTATTTATAACATTCCCAGCAGTGACACCGGTCTCTGCCTTTCAGTCTATGTGCAGTATGGCTTCAGTTCACGCTGATAGTTGGTTTGTATTACACAGCACCTTTAAAGAGAAAATTGGTATCCAGCTGGTAATAGCCTGTATCTTTCTATTACAATTTTTAAAACATCCTATCCACTAAGGCCGAAATTAGAAATGTATTGTAGCTGAAGATAGACCAGGCAGTTTCCTAATCTCCCTGTTCTCTCCCTTGGAAAGAGAATTACTTCCCCCCACCCCCCTCCTTCTCCTAAAATAATTACAAAAACTCAATTAAGTGGAGAGCTCACACATTCTCTGGAGAAAGCCTGGATGGTAATGGAAATCTCTAAGATCTTATTGCTTTTCTCCTAAGAGTCTTTATAATGTAAAAAACTTCACTCTTGTAAGAGTGAATAAAATCATGTCAGGTAGATTAAACAATGTCCTGTGGGTTTGTAACAGATGTCCCAAGGTCTAATTCTATTTTCTTGAACACCATGGCTTGCTTCTTCTGAATAGTTTTAGGACTGCGATTTAAGTCATTTTCATTAAAAATACAAACTTTTTGTAAACATCTGTTATAGTCCTGGGAAGCTTTTGGTCTCAGATAAGCATTAGAGCTGAACTTAGTAGTTTTGCCTCCCAGGTGTCTGTGCAAACATTTTCTTTGGTTTTGATCTCCTGAATTTGCACCCCGTGCATCTTGCTTTGAGTATGTCAGGCTCAAGCAAACTAAAAACCTCCAAACCAAGCTCAGTCAGAAGCACCAAGTTCCATCTGGCTTCTTATCAAACCACACCGAACAGTGTAGTTTTTATTATTTCAATGCAAAACACCCCAAAGTTTGCTCAAAACTGTTCCCAGGTTTCCTTGAAATGTTCATGAATCTTAATGCACTTTACAGCATGCCTGGTTTAACTTTCAGGTTTGTAATGAAATCCTAAACCAGGCAGGTTTCAGGCTTCACTGAAAGTGTTTTGTGCAGCTGTGTTGGCATCTGCATATCTATAGCTAAACTTCTGTGCCTTGCCAGTGCAAACTACTAAAGTTAATGGCACTAGATGTATTTTAAAGGTCAATAAATAAGGAGCCCGATCTTGCAATGTTTATTCATGCAAGTAGACCCACTGGTATCAATTGGTCTTTCTCTTAGGTGTAGGTCAGATGATCAGCCCAAGATATACCTAAAAACCTTACTAGTAAGCAGCCACACTTGTTTAGTAGTTACAATCCAATTTACTCTCATTTTGGAGTCACTCATTTACTGTGCAAGCTGCAGGAGAAAGTAGTTAAAGTTGAACCACAGCTTCTAAACAGAACTACATGTAGCATTTCTCACTTTTTCAGGGACGCTATCAACTCCTGTATCTTGTGAAAATGGAAAACTATTTGCAATGATTGGTTCAATATGAAACGGTTGTTCTGGGAATAACTAATGTTGTTATTTTACAGTTTAGATTCCTTTCTTTATGGACTCCATGCTCTGTTCAAAGGAGACTTTCGAATTACAGCAAAAGATGAATGGGTGTTTGCAGACATGGATCTATTGCATAAGGTGGTCGCTCCAGCAGTCAGAATGTCCCTGAAGCTACATCAGGCAGGTTTTTCACCATTACTATTGTACATGTTTTCCTAAGGAAATTTCCTAAGCCTTTCTTTGTGTCTAACCAGTAAAGAGGCTGGATACTCTGTAAGTTAGTTGTAATCATACAAACATTTTCTTCATGTAGCCCTCTATAGTACTAAGATGTTAACGGTTCTGTTCCTTTTCCCTCATCCAATCCCCAATCTCACCCTGTGTTATCTCTAATGTAGTCTTTATAGACACAAACCTGTTCCAACTGAAGTCAACAGTTGCTTTGTCATTGACTTCAATGAAAGCAGGAACTAGTTTATCTTCAATAGCTATTCTCTTTTTATGGAACTGTCTGACCATAGTAATATTCATTTCATTTAATACCAGGACCAGTTCACCTGTCCAGATGAGTATGAGGACCCTGCAGTTCTGTATGAGGCAATCCAGTCTTTTGAGGAAAAGATTGTAATTTGTCATGAGGGTGACCCTGCCTGGCGCAGAGCTGTACTCTCTAACAGAGAAGAGCTTCTCACCTTGAGACATATAGTGGATGAAGGGACAGATGAATATAAAGTTATTATGCTCCACAAAAGCTACCTGAGCTTCAAAGTTATCAAGGTACCAAAGACATCTTTCTGGTATTTCAGATTTGTATTATTTCATCTGTGTCCAGGGCACTACACAAACAGGCAGTCTTCACTTGGTGAATTGGGACCTGGATACCATTGTTGAGTAAGTAGGTTTAGCTAAGAGAGGGAGGTTGATCAGGCTGTTGGGGCAGGGGACTGGGAGCCAGAACTCCGGGGTTCTATTCCTGACTTACTGTGTGGCCAGGATCAATTCACTTAAATTTCCTGTCCTTCTGTTTACTCATCTGAAATAAAAATTCTAATTTATTTGAGTAATATTTGTAAAATTTCTTGAGACTCGTTGATAAAAGATACTATATAAATGCAAAGTACAGTACTATTTGGGTTATACACCCATCGTAGTATTTTTTTTAAATTGAAAACATTTTCAAATGGTCCATATTTTTCTATTTAACTGTAGGTAAACAAGGAATGTGTCAGAGGGCTTTGGGCTGGGCAGCAACAGGAGCTAATTTTTTTGCGCAATCGTAATCCAGAGCGAGGTAGTATTCAGAACAATAAACAAGTCTTGAGGAACTTGATTAACTCTTCATGTGATCAGCCACTGGGATATCCAATGTATGTTTCCCCATTAACCACATCGTACATAGGGACACACAGCCAGCTGATGAACATCTGGGGTGGACCTATCAGTTTGGACAACATTAAAACATGGTTCAGATCCAAGTGGTTAAGGTAGGTGGTTAGACAATATTCAGCTTGTATTATGATATGCAGGGGAGGAAGTCTGCAATCACGTTATTTTCTATTAAGAGAGTTTCTCACTCTGAGAAAAATTATTAATTCCTGATGGGTGCAACCATAACTAAATATATAAAATAGCTTCCCAACTACTGTGGAAAGAAAACTCTGAACTCCATTAATGACGTTCAAGTATAGTCCTCTGTCATCATCATCATACTACTTAGCCTTATTGGCAATGATCTTATTCAGAAAAGAATGTTTTCTTGAAATAAAAATGATTCCAAGGCATTTTACCTTTTATTTTTTGTAAATAGCAATGTAGGTTTTCCACATTGCAGTGACTCTGAACGTGTTGAAACCTGAATATAGGTGTTACGCTTTAAACTTTGGCAGTTTGGATCAGACAAGCATTCCCAAGTTCTGATACTTATCCAAAATACACCTAACCTTTTTTTATTTTTTGTGTAATTTTCATAAAGGAACAAATAACAAAAAATACAAAAAAATAAATGATTTATAGCTTGCATATGTTACCAAATACTGCAAATTTTGCAGGATATCCAGTCAAATTATGCCACTGTGAAACTTTGTCACTTGTCAAAGCTGCAAGACCAGACAATGCAAAATCAGACAGTATTACACAGTCTAACCTTTTATTGAATCTCCACCATCAGGCCCCAACTTCCAGGATATATAACCCCAATAGCTCTCTCGCTGTCTCCCCCATTAACTCTGTATCTCACATCTTTCTTCTGTCAATCCTATAAGCACTCTTCATACAGGAATAGTGCATTTGACCTGCCATCCTTTCATGGCTGTAGAGAAGGGACAGGACCCTGGTTTGCTTGACCCATCACTGCATCTCTATTTGCTCTAACTTGCACTTTGGGGTTTGCTTTGTATATTAATCTCCCAGAGTGCACTTTATTCCCAGAGCATATAAGATTTGGGAAAGAAAAGCATGCCACTTGGCTACCTCATATAAAGATTCGCCTTTTGGGACCAATTTGACATTGGATTAAGTATGCTGATGGGTTTCAGGGCTCCAAGGCCACCTACCAAGACAAATTTGGTTTGGGCGATGAATGGAGTTTTATGTTGCTTTTTATTTTGACTAAACCAAATTACCCACCTCTAATATAACTATAATGTAATATAATTACTATCCTCAAAACTGTCAGAGCTCTGGTGTTCGCCTGTTGAATACATCTAGAGGGCTGGTCGGAGCACAGCTATTCACTTGTACTGTGAGTTTATCTAATGTTGGCCGCACAAATTCTAATAAACAACATAACTTGAGAGTGTGTCTCATCTCACAAACAGAATGCGGAAGGACTGTCATGCAAGTCACAGCAGTGGAAACAACATTGAAGAGGTGGATAGTGGAGGTGGGTCTTCATCCAGAAACAATTCCGCAAGTAATTCAAGCCAGAGTAGTAGCTCACAACACACAAGAAATGGAACCCCCCAGATGCAGCCTTCTTCACAAGATTCCCGTCAATATGCAGGTAGGTATACCAAAACATGGGCTCTATAACAGTCTGTTTAGGCTTGTCATTCCTCAGAGAAAATGTGACTGGGGTGTTTGGTGTTTTATTTTATAGCTTTATGACATGATGCAGTCAAGTACTTAGAGGAACAATTATCTAAAATTCGAGGTTCTGTGGAATCAGACTGTATAAACTGTGATTCAAATTACTACATCTGCTGGTGATTCTGGCCTCAGAAAAGCTTCACAGCTCTCAACTCACCAAATTTTACATTTATTAGGCCACTCCTATATTTACGTGCTCTGGTAAAGCTGAGGACAGCACACACAGTCCACTCTTCACTTCTCATGATTTATATTACATTATCAAAGAGAGGAAGACAGCAGGAGACAGGGAGGAATGCAGTTGCTGGAGCTGAATTGAGTTTGAATGTTCACAAAAATTAACCAAAATGAAAAAGAGTTTCTTTGCTCTGAAACTAATTCCAGAGTGATGGGCTAACTTTTATTGATGAGCTGGATGGGATGCGTGCGCATGGCAAAGATGGTGAAGCTGCCCAGAAACTTGCCAAATTATTACACTTCATACCAAATACAGTGTTTTGAAAAGTTTAAAAAATCATAAGTGACATCATAGGCCAGGTTCACCTCAGTGTCTGAGATCCACTCAGTGTAGAGGATTAGAGGAGGTGTGTGTTAAGGAGCTGGTTAGGGTTACAGCTCCCTGATCCTGGGAACCAGTCTGCATCTTAAGGGACCATATGACATTAGCCACACCCCCTTCCTACCTCCAACTTGTCTTATATACTAGTAGTGCAAATAAGCACAGGAGTCAGTTCCTCTGTTAATACAGAGGGTTCCCCTTCACTAGGAGTATTCTCTTCTGGGTAGCTATGATCAGATTCTGACACCTTTGTGACATCCGAGCAGTGCAAAAGGGGCCAGAATGAGAACAAAAGAAATGTCCACTGGAAATCCTAATTTAAGAAATAGAGATCTCAACTTCCCTAATTTCCAAGCAAATTATTAAGCAGACATGTTTATGGGGTGACCTTCTGACTTATTCTTCCAGGGGAGGGTCATTGGGAGGGCATAGGACAAGCAGAATGGCTATCAAAGAAGTTACCTGAGTCCCCACTGACAAACTACTGAATGCTAGATCCCTGGACCAGGAGATGCCTTTTGTAATGGAGGAAATTCAAACACAGATGGGAAGTAGTTAAAAAGTGAATTCAGTGAGCCCTGTGCCTTGACTGTTTATTGGGAACTCTAACCCTAAAATTGTGCCAAACTCTTAACTAAATTGCTAAATGGGAGACATTGGGGAAAGCGAACAAAATGTCCTGATTATATGAGCAAGAGGGTTTCCTGATCACTAATGCACATGGGATTGTTTCTCTAGTGTAGCTTCCATTATATAAATACAGTACTCATCAGAAAAAAGCCAACATTTAGACCTGGCCAATCATTCTGATATGGAGTAATTCATGTCCTCATCACTTATGAACAAAACCATGCTTTGAACTTATATTCTGAGCCAAAAACTATTTTAGATTTGTGATGATCTGTAAGTCAGGGCTAGCTGCCTGCTCACTGGAAATACTGGTGTAAAATTATAAAACTGGTGTAAAATAAGTCCTACTCATCACATCTCTGAGGACTCAGGACTTGCTGAAAGGTTGAGTTAATTGACTGTACATCACAGTTATGCTATAGGTTATAAATTAAGGCAGAGAACTAGGAACAGGATACTTGTTCATTTCTTGTTATATCTGTTGGCTCTTACATTAAAAATAATGGACAAGGCTGGAGAGAATCTTGCCCTGAATATCAATTATATTGTAAGATTACAACTGCTGCTTTTGATTCCTGTGTTGGAGCAAAATCCCCATGTGCACTTTTACAATTTGACAGTGCCATAATCAGAAAGGTAAGCTTAATTGTAAAATAATGACCCTGAGGGACTCAAATGATAATGAAAGATCACGGGGAATTGTTTAAGAACGTTTTGCTAGATGCCCAAAAAGCCACAATAGTGATAAAAGACTACATTGGTTAAAAACCAACCTGTCTGAGAGGAGAAGTGAAAACAGCTATAAAAATCATTTTAAAAAATTATATATAACAAATGCAAGAAAGGGGAAGATGAAAGTAATATAAATCAGAAGCTACAGTTAAGGACAAGAAGGAAGTTTTTTTAATTATATTAGGAATGAAAGGAATCCTATCAATGGCATTAGTCAATTACCAAACGGAAATGGTAGAATCATCAATAATAATGCAGAAAAGGCAGAAGTATTAAATATATTTCTGTACTGTATTTGGGAAAAAGCCAGATAATGTGTTGATATCATATGATGATGATGAAGATGCTGTTGCTGATGAAATAGTTTCCATTCCAAAAGTAACTAAGGAGAACGTTAAAAAGCAGCTACGGCTTGACATTTTTTAATTCAACAGGTTCAGATAACTTACAACCAAGAGTTTTAAAAGAGCTGGTTGAGAAGCTCTCTGGATCCTAATGTTGATTTTCAATAAGTCTTCGAACACTGGGGAAGTTCCAGGGGACTCAAAGAAAGCTAATATTGTGCCAATCATTTAAAAAGGTAAACAAGATGGCCCAGGTAATTATAATTTTGGCAGCGGGGCATCAATCTCGGCGTAATAATTGAACAGCTGATTTGGGACTTGATTAATAAAGAGTTGAAGGCAGGTAATATAATGAATGCCAGTCAACATGGGTATAAGGAAAATCGATCTTGTCAAACTAACTTGAAATTTTTTTTTATGAGATTACAAGTCTAGTTGATAAAGGTAATAGTGTTGATGTAGTATACTTAAACTTTTGTCAGGCATTTGACTTGGTACTGTGACAGACTGAGAATTATCTACAATATCCCAAATGAATTTTATTGAATTAAATTAAACCTTATTGATTTAGGTTTAATACCTTTGGAGTCCATTGTATTAAAAATGCAATTCTGTATGTGTTATTGTGGCATTGTACATACCTTCTCTGGTAGGCGGGTGATGCTAATGTAATTCCTCTGGTTATCAGCCCTTTGAAGACACCCCCCGGGCCTCCGGAGACATACACATATACTACTTCAAACTGGATTCTCCAGGGACCAATAGACAAAGAAAGGACTTTTGGATAAATAGCCAGCTTTTAAACATTTTGTGGCCTTCTTCCTGATCCAGCAAACAGACTCCTGGTTTATGGGATCCCCTATCCTTAGGATTGAGTTGGAAGGGCTGGGCCTAATGAGGCCCCATAAGACTGGGTGCTTGTTCTGAGCTGACTTGTGACCACACCCCATGGGTGGGGATTGAAGGACAGCTCCTGCCAGTGTCCATGTTAGAGTTGTGATGGTATCTGGTAAACTTATTAGCGTGCGTATAGATTTTAGTATTGTTTTAATACGATTTTTCTTTAATGCTTTTTGCCTTAAGAATAAAATAGCCTTGCATAGGAAGAGTTGTGTGTTACAAATAACTGTTGAAAATCACTTTGTTATTAATCACTGAAGAGAAAACAAGCACGTGTGCTTGGGCAGCCTCTCTCTGCTGCGAATAACATAGTGAAGGCAGGGAACTGTGCAGCCTGGAAATGCCCCCATCAGAAGGGAGTGAGACTTGGGTCTTCACCCAAGAAAGGCAATGGCTGGGGAAGCCTGAGAGTGGGTGCCCTTGCTGGAGCATAGAGGGGAAATACTGGTGCAGTTGCCCTGAACTGTGACAGGTACAGCATGACATTTTGATTGAGAAACTAGAATGATACAAAATTAACATGACACACATTAAATGGATTAAAAACTGCCTAACTGATAGGTCTCAAAATGTAATTGTAAACAGGGAATCATCATTGAGCAAGTGTGTTTCTAGTGCAGAGGTGGGCAAACTACGGCCCGCGGGCCCCTCCTGCCTGGCCCCTGAGCTCCTGGCCCTCAGTGCTTTGGGCGGCCGGGCAGCACAGCTGCAGAGCCGCAGCCTGACCCGGTGCTCTGTGCTGCACGGTGGTGTGGCTGGCTCCAGCCACAGCCGCACCGCCAGCCACTGGTGCTCCAGGCAGCGCGATAAAGGGGCAGGGAGCAGGGGGTGTTGGATAGAGGGCAGGGGAGTTCGGACGGGCTGGTGGTCAGGGGGCGGGGGTGTGGATAGGGGTCGGGGCGGTCAGAGGGCAGGGAACGGGGGGGTTGAATGGGTGAAGGGGTCCTGGGGGGGCAGTCAGGAAGGAGGGGGGGTTGGATGGGGCAGCATGGGGCAGTCGGGGGCAGGGGTTCCAGGGGCAGTCAGGGAGAAGGGGTGGTTGGATGGGGCAGGGGTCGGGGGGGAGGGGGCATTCAGGAATGAGAGGAGGGGTTGGGTGGGGGTTCCGGGGGCAGTCAGGGGACAGGGAGGGGGTGGATGGGGCAGGGGTCCCAGGGGGCCGTCAGGGAACGGGGGGGTTGGATGGGGCAGGAGTCCCAGCGGGGCCGTCAGGGGACAAGAAGCAGGGACGGGAGATAGGGGGCGGGAGGCGGGCCATGCCTGGCTGTTTGGGGAGGCACAGCCTCCCCAACCGGCCCTCCATACAATTTCCAAAACCCGATGCGGCCGTCAGGCCAAAAAGTTTGCCTGCCCCTGTTCTAGTGGAATCCCACAGAGATTGGTTCTTGGTCTTATACTATTTAATATATTTATCAATGACGTGGAAGAAAACAAAGTCCTCACTTGATAAAGTTTGCAGATGACACACGGATTGGGGGAGTAGTAAATAATGTAGAGGACAGGTCACTGATAGAGAGATATCTAGATTGCTTGCTAAATGGGTGCGAGCAAACAATGTGCATTTTCATATGGCCAAATGTAAAGTCACACATCAAGGAACAAAGAATGTGGGGGACGCTATCCTGGGAAGCAGTGACGCTGAAATGGATTTTGAGATCATGGTAGATAATCAGTTGAACGTGTGCTCCCAATGTAATTCTGTGCCCAAATAGACAGATGTGATCCTTGGATGTATAAATGAGAAGAGAGTAGAAAAGTTATATTACCTCTGTATTTGGCACTGATGAGATTGCTACTGGAATACTATGTCCTGTTCTGAAGTCTACAATTCAAGGAGGATGTTGATAAATTGGATGGTTCAGAGAAGAACCAAGGGAATAATGAAAGGATTGGAAAACATGCCTTAACAGACTTGATTAGTTTACAAATAACTGCATGGGGACCAGAAATTTGAAAATAGAGGCTCTTGCAAACGTATAACAAGAGCCAATGGCTGAAAGCTGAAACTAGACAAATTCAGATTAGAAATAAGTGACACATTTTTAAAGTGATTATATTTAACCATTGGAATAACTTACTAAGGGTTATGGGGGATTCTCCATCACTGGAAGTTTTTCAATCAAGATTGAACTAGAGCACATATTTTAGGAAAACATCCAAACGGGAATTAATTCAGGGAAGTTCTAAGGCCTGTGTTACACAGGAGGTTAGACCAGATGATCACAATGGGCCCTTCTGGCCTTACAATTTATGAAACAACTGTATTTCGTGTTTCTTAATTTAATATTTCACTTTACTGGCTGGTGCCATTCAGTCTGCAAAATGCAATTACAACCCTACATAAAAATGAGGAAAATCAGAAGCATTGAAAGTACGTTGGGTGCACCAAAAAAAGTGTCTTTACTTTACAATACAGTATATAGAACAGCCTTTGTTTCCAAAGTGTTTTCAGGGGCTATGCTATTTATGTGTAGATATGGGTGGTCTACTACATAGCACTGTAACTGCTGAATTTGGGATGAATATAGAATATTTTTGGACAGTGGTCAGCTTGGCAGTTTAAATCATGAACAGATGTTTGTCCATATTTGACAGAACTTACACATCACAGCCTCTCTGTTCTTAATTCATATCTGTCCTTTATATTTTAAGAGGATAACATTAAAATAAGCAACTGACCTAGAAATAGGGCTTAACCAAAACCCCAGAGTTCAAGCACTTTGGATCTTTGGGAAAGTCAGAACCTCATCTAGATCCAAACTTTGCAGCTCAGGCCTGTCTCCCCAATCATCCCATCTGAAGTGCAGAGAATCCATGGGCACATTTTTGAATCAGTGCATGAGGCTTAGCTGCATTGGTCCCATTGGCTTTAGTGGGAGTCTTGAGGCATTTATTACAGGGGCCACTGCCCAGTATGCCATTTTTGCAAGTGTACTTTTTATTGTTCTGAGTATAAAGTAAAAGTAATGTGGTGTTGTAAATGGTATGGAAAATTGCTCACTACTTGCCAGGCCAACTAGACTTTATTCCAGCTAAGCTGATTCCATCATGTTATTGCCACTTTATATATGGAAAAGAGAGGGAGGAGCCAGCCAGCGGATAGGACACTGACTGAGTCACGAGATCTGGTTTCTATTCCCGGCTCTGCCATGTGGCTCTGGGCCAAGCTACGTAACTTCTCTGTGCCTCAGCATCTGTAAAATGGGGATAATGATACTTTTCTTTGAAAAGTACTTTCAGAGCTATAAAAGAGCTAAGTAATAGAAATATCCTTGATATTGGGTTATTATATTAATTTCATTGAAATTATTCCTGAATTCAGCAAGCAATCAGATTTATAGAGAATTGTCCGTTTGGGATTTATGTTGCTTTACAGCTGAGAAATTTCAGTTTTTGAAGGAATTTGCTGCTTATAATGGAACTTCAGCCCCTTTGCCTTCCTCCCTTCCTATTTCATGCACTGGGGGGAAAAGATCAACAACCTATGATGTTTTTATGTTCTAACCTAGGAATCCCTAAAAGGCAAAATTCATGTCTGCATCGTTAGGTTTTACAGGTTTGCTGTTTTCAAAAATATTAATACTTTTTAAATTATGGCTATGATATTAAAGTACCAGCGTATGTTAACATTTTGGGTTTCCTGGCTATGGAATGTGTAGCTTGCAGTCAGATGAACAGGTGCTCTGTGTGAGTTTGACATAGAATCAATACAGAGAAACATCAAGCATATTAGGTGCCTGCTGTGTGTGCCAACCTGCTGTCTGTGATCTGGGGAGTTGATTGTGTTCACAAGCAGGTATCTGGTGTGTTCAGTGGTTTGTGGATGGGTTTATTATTATTTTATTCTGTGAACATGCAACATACAAGAATAAAAAATACATAAATCAACTCTGCATTTAAGTAGCTCTCATTGCTCAATCACAATCCTTCTGTCCAATCAGGGAGGAGCAGTGGTGGCCCCAGCGGGAATCCTGTGTAGTCTTTTGGCCATGTGGATGATGGCTGTGAGTTTGAGGCATTGGGTTGTAAACATTAGAACAAATTTGGGATTATGTACAAATGTAGGAATAGCCAGACCGGCTCAGACCTGAAGTCCATTTAGACAAGTATCCTTTCTCTGACAGTAGCCAGAACCAGGAGCTTCAAAGGATGGTGCAAAGACCCTGCAGTAGGTAGATGTGGAATAATCTGCCCCCCACATAGGTCTCTTCCTCTTAAATTCTTGACCTCAAACAACTTCCTTTGTTGTAAATACTCTGCCCTGTGACACTGAGGTGGAAGTGTCTTCACATTCCTAGTCCTGAGGGCAAGGGTAATTCTGTGTAACCTTACTTTGTTTTAATTTGCAATTAAACTATATAAAGCTTTAGGAGTGGAATTTTATAAGGCACTTGGGCTTAGATTTTTTAAAGGTATTGGGATGTTCCTGTGCTCAGCGTTGCAATACCCAACTGATTTAGGGGCCTAAATCTCATTTTCAAAAAGGGATTTAGGTACTTAAGAGTTCCACAGTAGAACAGCTTCAACAAGAGAAAATGAGGGAGCCCCACATCAGAATATCCCATACCTCAGTGGTTAGGGCATGCATCTGAGCAGGTAAATCCCTGCTCAAATCCCCTCATATCCTAAAAAAACAAGGAGTCTGGTGGCACCTTAAAGACTAACAGATTTATTTGGGCATAAGCTTTCTTGGGTAAAAAACCCACTTCTTCAGATGCATCATATCCTAAGGGATAGCCTAGGTAAGTACTAGGCTAGGTAAGTACAGCCTAGGTAAGTACTCTAACAGCTGGACTAAAAGTTGAGGGAGAGCCACCTCCTTCACTTCTGGTAGAAATGGTGGAGGCACCTAACACCAAGAAAAGGTTTGTAGCTGAGAATCCCAAGCAGAGGAAGATGCCTCCCTGCAGCCCTTAGGCACCAAACTCCCTGAGAGGGATGGGCTTAGGATACACCCCTTGTTTAGGCATCTCCCATTGGCTAGCTTAGGCGAGGAGCCACCTAGCATGCTGGCTTTTGTGAATACCATGCTGAAGCACCTATTCATTGTATAGCGAGCCTGAGCATCGAACGCTGGCTTTGTGAATTAGTGATTTTCAAGACAGCTGAAAGTTAGGCATGGTGACACTCAGCATCACTACACCTACGTTTCTTGGGGAATCTTGCTCTCTGTTTCTCCATTTATTCATCTGTGAAATGGATTTAATAATGATATTATTTATGTTCCTCACAAAGGCTCAAATTCTGCTCCCATCAAAGGCAATAGAAGATCTGAACCATTTTGCACTGCCAGTGGGATGAACCAAATGACTTCATAGGTTTTATCAATCTCTAATTTCTATGATTCGCTGAACGTTTGTTTGTAAAGTGTTTAGATCCTCAGTATAAAAGTGTATGTGTGATAAAGAACGCTACATAAAATATACCCTAGTAAATGGATAGAACCAGTAATATGTGTGCTTTGATGGTATGTAACTGAAAATATAATTTAAAATAAAACTATTTCTCTCGTTTAAAGGCAGAAGAAAATTCAGGAGTCAGTCTGTTCAGACACATGCTGCCTTAAACCAGAGGCCACCGGTTTCAAGTCATTCTGAACCACTTGTAGAAAGTTACCAGCCCATTATCCAAGCTTCCACATCTGCCCATGAAATTGTCCAAAGGCTTTCCAGAAGCCAGTTGTCCTTCCACAATTCAGTCACATCTGTGTTTTCTCAAACCCCTGCCATTCCTGCTGGTGACCAGTTGACTGTCCAGGATAGAGCCGGAGCAATGCTGAGGTCCAGTCTGGCCTCTTCCACCAGCTCTACTCTCAGCCTTCTGTTTGGCAAGAGAAGTTTTTCAAGTGCTTTGGTGATTTCTGGGCTCTCGGCTGCTGATGGAGGAAACACAACTGATACCCAGTCATCCAGCAGTGTCAACATTACCATGGGTCCATCTGCTAGAGCTGCGAGCCAAGCAACACGGGTAAGGCAGAGTCATGTTAGCAGGAGCTATAATTCTAGTCTATTATATTCTTATGCTGCCCTCACCACTGTAGTATTCAAGTGTCTGCCAGGAGTGCATTAAGCAACGTGACTAACATCTGTCGCGTGCATTTATTCTCTCTTTCTATCATTCTCTCCCCAGGGAAAATTTGTGTGTGCACTTTAGTATTTTGTTTGGTTGGCTATTTGACTGTATGATTTAACTTTTGATTCCAATCAGTCTCCTTCCTGAAGTCCATCATCCTCACTACAGACCCCTCCGGAGTGGTAAAATAAAATCATAGTCCTTAGACATGAAGCAGTTTGGCAAATCCAATGAGAGACTGAGGGCATAACTAATATTAAATAATTTGGCATTACCAAGTGGAACCAAGTAAGCTGATTTGTTGTCATTAGGACAAAATCATTGGATATGGATAGCCCAAGTCTGGTTTCTCATGTACATAGCATACAAATATATTAACCCAGATGATACCAAGGTTGTCCATGCCTGAAGTTAGTTTCATCCTAACTGCATCATGTAATGATCAGTCCTGCTCCAAATGAAGGCAATGAGTTTTGCCATTATCTCCATTAGGAGCTGGACTGAGCATTATTCACCTAGGGCCTACTGCTTGCCTTACTGATGCGAGTATTATTTTTTCGTCTTTCTACAACACCAGTAGACATGCAAGGCACTGCACAAACAGGTAAGACACAATCCCTGCCCAAAGAGTTTACAGTCTAAGGTCTGGATCCTGCCAACCATTCTCAACTCCCTTTGAAATTACGAGAGCTAAGCTGAGCACTTTGCGTGCCAGGCACAAGTGAGCTCTTGCAGTCAATGTGGCTACTTGCCAGCATGTGGTGTGAAATAAGGCTTTTGTTTAAACCCTCTGCTTTAGCACAGGAAGTCTTCTAGTGAAGTTGGACCAGAATTAGATTAATTACGTTTAGGGATAATTTGGGGCATCCTTTTCAGACTTAACTTGATCAGGCACAGTACAAAGTAGGTATTACTGAACAATCTCTATCTGGTAGTCTGCTCTTGTGGGCAGTTCTGTGCTGTTATCACATGAAGAGGGACAAGTGCTGGGGTCTTCTCTAGTTCCTTTTTAGCTCCTGAAGTTCACGCTATAACTAAATGTGAATCACATATAATTACACAAAACGGTATGAAGTCCAGAGAGCTAATGTCTGTCTTTATTTCAAAATGTCCTTTTGAAAAGAACCAAATGAAGTGCCATCTAGACATTTCCTAAACTATTCTAAATTTTGTTTTAAGCAATTCTCCGAGACTTATGAAGTGACTGATGCTACAAAATCTAGACCGCGAAAAGACCTAGGTCCTGCCCGAGCCATTTTTGAGAGTCATAATCTGGAGTGTAGAAGAGCCAGCCAGGAGGATATGGCACTGGAGGATACAGCTTCTCAACAGAGCCTTTCAGAAGAGCAGTGAAGAATATTCCTAGTTCAAGGGCCATATGTACTCCTTCAAAGTAAAGAAAAACACACCTAGGTCAGTCAGCTCCAGTTATTTCAAGTGTAACAACAAACCTCAAAACGCTTTATTTTTCTAACTTCGGAGAGAGAATCCCATAGTGCAGATGTTCTTCAGCAAAAAGGCTTGGCATGTGGGGATGGAAGGACCTTTACAGAATTTAAAGATGTCCTAAAATGCAGTGCAACTTCATCTCAGGTTCTTGACATTTCTAAAACAATGAATAAACTCTGCGTGATATCCTTCCCCCGCAGCGGTGCTGACACACTTGTGGTGGAAATCTGGACATGCTCAAAAAGAAGCATGCGTGGAAGTGCAAGTGAAAGCAATGGAAGATCTTAATACAACTCGGCGAAAAGCACACAGACATCTGTTTCCTGCCATAATGAAAAAGAGGACTGCATGTTAAATAATTGGCATTTTATACATAATGCATCACAAAGAAAAATTCTGACTAGAAGCAATGAACATGTAATAGGATAGTACAATACACACTAACATTAGAGCTGAATCTGCAAACTTTTAACGGCAAACCTCATTCTTCCTTTTCTTTAAAGTGTTACACAGATGGTAATTATGTATAGCAACATATTAATATAGGTGAAGATATACTGCATGCAGCCATGTTGAAATACTGTATGAAAGAGATAGACTACACATTGCAATAAGGCAAGTTTTGAGAACAAGTATAGCCAGTGCATGGAAAGCCTTCACAAAGCATATGGTGCTCCTTATTTGCAAACAAAGCAGTTTTATATACAAAACTGCTCTTACATGTAATCTCGCACTCCTGTTCAGTTTACAGGAATGCATGCCTATATCTGAAGCCAAGAGGCTAAAACAAATCCTTAATGTACTATAGTATATACACACACATGCTCATAAATTTTTTTTGTAATTAAACAATTTACAACTATCAGTGTCTCAATGTTCTTCTTTACTGTAACTACAGCAGCTCCTTTCTAATTCTTATCACGCTAATCCACAGCCATGGTGGTTTTCTACACAAAACCAGGTCGTCTCGTCCCACTTAATGAGCAAGATTGAATAGGCGATGCTGAAGCGAAGTCTCATGACTTTTACACAATATACGGTTGCCTTCACATTTACAGACCCTGTCCATCACCATGGCATCTATATTTAATACTGTAAAAAACACCTGAATGACACTGGTCAAAATAAATGAGCCAAGTACACTCTGTGATGCAGCAATTTTCATTCTTTTCAGTCATATTTATTTGCTTACTTGCTGATTTGCAAACTTTGGAAATCCACATTTTGTCTCCCACTCATTAATATAAATTAGCCTGGTGCTAAAGCTCTGAACATTATGGGCAAAACTCTGCCCTCCCTCATTATGGCCACACCAGGGAGAAAGTGGAATGTTCTTCAAAGGCATCACTGAGAGATCCTGCATCCACAGGGCCTGAATGGAGCAAGGTGACAGGTGCATGTGCTTTAGTGCTGCTCCACCAGAGAACAGCACAGGCGTCTAGTCCTATTTCAAGCCAACACACGATGTCCTCTTGAGGCAGCTGTGCACCAGGAGAGTGCTCATAATGAATCCCAACCTGCTGCTGCACAGGTGTGCAGATAAAGGCGGTTTCCTATCCACCCCCACCAAGCACAGGGTGCCCAGGCCTCTCACAACAGGCTTTAGCCCTACACATTTTAGTTATTAAAAAAAAAGTATCCCAACTGCCTATTGGGGGGAGGGAGGGATTTTTTCAAAGTATCCAGTGACTTTTAGCGCCTATATATGTGTTGCAGATATTTTTCTTTTGTTTTAAAATTGTTATTGAAATATCTTGGCTGGGTGAACAGCAGGAATGTTAAACTTTCCCAACAGGAACAATTACAAAGTGTTACAGGTATTCTCTAAGACAATAGCCCATAGATTTGTATTGACCATGTTGGATATGTTGTCAATAAGAATACTTATATCTTCAATGTATTTAAGGTAAGCAATAGTACCCACAGCATAATCAAAGATGATAGGAGTCATTCAATTAGGGTCCAGGTAGATGTTTTTATTGAATAAGAATGACTTTTGGTAATTGTCTTGGTTTTTTGAACCCTGGGCCAACACTGGAGCTAGAGGACCTCGGAGTTACAAACCCCAGAGTTACGAACTGCCCAGTCAACCACACACCTCATTTGGAACCAGAAGTACACAATCAGGCAGCAACAGAGACTCCCCGCCCCCCCACTCCCAAAAAATCAAATACAGTACAGTACTGTGTTAAATGTAAACTACTAAAAATAAAGGGAAAGTTTTAAAAAAAGATTTGGCAAGGTAAGGAAACTTTCTGTGCTTGTTTCATTTAAATTAAGATGGTTAAAAGTAGCATTTTTCTTCTTCCTAGTAAAGTTTCGAAGCTGTATTAAGTCAATGTTCAGTAGTAAACTTTTGAAAGAACAACCATAACTTTTTGTTCAGAGTTACGAACAACCTCCAGTTGTTCATAACTCTGAGGTTCTACTATAGCTAATATCCATCCAGCATTGTATATGGACTAAGCTGTTAAGGTTGACCAGTTTGTATGTGTTACATGTTCAGTGTGTGCAGTGGCAGCGGTGCTTGGAGGATGGCTGTAACCAACACCTTTAAATATATATTGCGTGATCCAACACATCAATATTTTGAAGATTTAGGTGACATGCTGAAATTTTCCAAAACAGCAAGGGCAAGAAGTCACTTATTCGACATGCTGTGTAGCAAGAAGCCTGCTCACTGATCATTCACCTAATTCCAAATGTGGTCGATATACTGGAGAGTAGCACTGCTATGACCCATGCAATGCAGCAGTGGGTAGCCAATCGGCTGCCAGGTGAATCCTTTATTGCTGCTTTCAAGGACACCCCCAGCTTAGTCGGTAACTGTACCAGCCTTTGAGGAAGACAACCTCCCACTCTCCAAGCACAATCTGTGTATGTGCTACATTTATGGAAACACCATCAGTGGTGAGGGAATGTAGCCTGGCTAGGTGACATTTTACTGATGATCGAAGTGGGAGGAAAGCAGTGGGGGGAAGCCCTATAATGTATCAGGACTGAGCGAGGAAGTAGAGCAGTGGGGGGTATATGGTAAAATAAGTATGAACATTGTAGAACTAGTCCCATTTTAGCCCTCAGATTAACTGTTTTTCCCTCTCGGTTTGTTTCCTTAAACCTATTTTATTCTTTCACTAATTTGTTCTTGCTCAAGTCATGCAGTAAAGGTTAGGCACTTGTCTCATTTACACTGGTGGAAATTAGGTCAGAATCTGCCCAGAGTATCTAATCAATGACTTCAGCAACATTAGCGAAGCCAGCCAGGGGCTGCTAAATCAGTTATGTTCACCCTAGCATCTGGTCACCAGTTGGCAGACCCCAAGCCTTGTTTATAGAAGTTGTCTGATTGTACAGTCGGTAGGAAACAGAAGGATTTAATATATACTTACATCCAAGAGTGGGACAAACTTTGTCAAGCCTACTTAAGATCAGTGCGATTTCCCTTCTCCATCTCAGAACTGTTTGGCATTCCTCGTAGTCATCAAGTTCTTGGGAGTCTTTGAGGTTTAATTCACAGCTCATCTGCTTAGGTTCTGAGGATAGGGGAAGGGGGAAATGGCTTCTTTGGTCTGACTTTAGTCTACCTCCAGCCTGCTCTTCTTTGGGTAAACAGGCTGTGTAATTCGGGTTCAGGTTTAGACGTACTCGAGAAACTCACCTTAGGACAGGTGAATAAATACTAAAATTTGTCAGCATGTAATAACCCTCTCCTTGTCAATAAATTATTCCTCTTAACTACCAAATTAGTGCCATTTTTATTCTGCTTCATGGAAGGGAGACTGGTCATTAATTAGAGCACTTTACTGTTTCTTGTACTTAATTCTGTAAGACTAATATTTCTTAGCCCTATTATTAACTCTGTAGCAGGTCAAGTGTTAAAAACTTACCTCTCTCTCTGATTTTCCAAATGTCATGAGTAAAAAATTGGCTGGCACATGCTCAATAATGCAGCCTCAATTTATGTCAGGCTGTCTGCACTGTTTTATGCTGGAATTGTTATAAACTTCTTGCCTACAATGTCCTTGATGCTCGAGCTTAAACAAAATAGGAGGCACTAATTATTCTCTCCCTTTTACATCAATTAAAATTTGCAGGTGCAGTAACATTGTCATCAGGAGTCTTGCTGCCGTATCAGAGGTTATCATCACACAATGTTTGCTATTGGTAAATAGCTGATCGGGGGAATTGTCAATGCTCTAGCTGTCAGTGTGCTCTTAAGGCTTTCCAAATATGCTGCATATGTGAGACCAGGCAATACATTTTTGCCTTTACAATGAACATAAGGTACCATAACAGCTGAACTTAATTTGGAACTCTTAGTTTCTGTTCCCCTTACTGAACATTTGAAACAGGTACGTTACATTACTTTGGGACTGACTTAGATGTAAAGGCCAGAAGCAACCATTAAAATCATGAAGTCTGACCACCTGCATAACACAAGCGAGAGAATTTCACGTAGTAACCCCTACATCAAGCCCATAGCTTATGGCTGTGCTATAGCATGGTTTTTTAGAAAGAGACCCAATCTTGTTTAAAGGGTGAAATCCTGGGTCCTGTGAACTCAGATGAAAAATTCCTATTGACTTCAATAGGATGGGTTTTAATCATAGGACAAATTATGGTGACTCCCCCAGATCCCTTGGTAAACTATTCCAATTTAAGTGAAAGAATTGTGCCTTATTTCTCACCTGAATTAATGGCTTTAAAGTGCCTTCAGCAAGTGGAGGAAACACTCACACTAGTTGGAGATAGTGGGATGAGTGGATTAAATAATAGGGAATGTCCTCTCTCAGCACAGTATTATACCACTCAGATTTGGGGATATGGTAAGTGTAATATTATACATTTTGCATGATGACCTGTTCATTAGCATGGCTAGTATGAACTACTGATAGAGCTGTAACTCAGGAAACCTTGCTGGTTGAATAGGGACTTGGAAAATGAACTCTAGGCACCACCCCTTCTGGATTGTTCCCTGGGCAGTTTGAGAAAACTGCTACCAAAGCAGAACAGTGTTCTTTCCCCAATTCACTTTGAGAAGGAAATTCCCATGATTATCTTCAGAATAAAGTTAGTTATGTATAATGACCAGAAACCAGCCCATGCCCAAACATCTACACTGAAATTAAACAGTCCTACAGCCCAAGCCAGATACAGGTTTTTAATTGCAGTGTAGACATACCTACCAATTCCCTAGATTCAAGCACTCGAGGACAAGGGCTTGGCTATTCACAATGGAGAAACTACACTCTCATGCCGTGCTCTGACAAAACCAGTATTTGTTGAACTTCAGGGTAAGGTGCACATCTAAATGCTTTGCTCTTGGATAAGATTGGATCACCCAATAGCAGTATTTTAAGCGATAGCTTGGAGTTGTCCACAGTTCCTAGCTAATGTGGACATCTGATGTTTAATTAAGGAATCAACTATGGCTTTAAGGCACAGTCCTATGTTGGGGTAGCATAGAGCTGCACAAGCCCACAGGGAGCTCTGGGGGAATTCTCCCTCTCTAGTACATATTAAGAATAGGGCCTTAGCCCCACCCCTCTGGGGGTGATGTGCACCTCCAGTGGCCCACAGCAGAACTCACTTCTAACAGGCCCTTGCACAGGGTATGGGGAAGAGGAAGGATCCTCCTTGCATGCTTTCCCACAGCCTCTTGTACACTTGCAAAAGGGCTGTCAGAACCTGGCTTTATAAATACACATAGATCTGCTATTGGAGCAGAACTATGAACTAGTGTACAAATAAATGACTAACTACAAGGCAGGTTTCCATATGCCTTTAACCAACATGTTTATTTTAACATTTGTTAAACTCCACACAAGAAAGGAAGGAATTCAGTCCTTTCCATTCCTAAATCTTTGAAGTAGAAAACTCTTTAAGCTGCATGAGAACAAAAGTACACCTGGCTGGAAATTTAGTTTATGACATGCAAGACTGATTAAGTGGTAAATGCTTTTTTCCTAAACACATTTACAAACCTCCTGGGGATATATGTTGTCTAATACTCTCATTTCTTGTTTCATCATTAACCAAAAAACATGCACAGGATTGCAAAAGGAAATAAACAGAAATTGTTAAGCTTCAATAAGCCATAATGGATTGTTAAACTTGGATAGTCAAATGCAGCATTAAATCTAATGCTTGATATTTTAAACATGTTATGAAAAACATCTGTCAAGATTTTATTAAGAAAGCCATGGTCCTAAAGACTTTTTTTGGCTATAAGAAAATGTGAAAAATAAACAGAGTAGGCAGCATTCCTATCAAGCACTGTCTAAGCAACTTAAAGTTAATCTTTTCCTAAAATTCAACTCTGTAAATGACAATTGTCCAGTTATATCATGTATTTGTCTTATGATTTCAGATCACATTTGCTCAGTTTACTTATCCTGCGACGTGAGAATCAAGCTATTCTGTTTTATTCATCATCATTCATAAAGCTGACCCAGCTGAACCATATTGGTGAGTTAGTTGAGGCACACTGCTGTAGGACCCCAGGGTCAGTGTTAGTGGTGGTGATAATGCACAAAGCAGATTGTGCAAGATTTTGCTCGGACTACATTCTGTTACACAGGTGTCAGCCCCCAGTTCTGCAATGTGTAGTGTGCAGGAGGACTGTGGGGCCTGTGCAGAGCTCTACTGACTTTAATGCTTCTCTGTAGACACAGCAGACTACCCTCACCATATGTTGCAGGATTAGGGGCTGAATCAATAGTTCCATTGAATGTAATAGTTAATTGAATTTGCGCTACTATAATTGGCATCAGAAACTATTGCTTGACTTTCAGATCCCAGGATGAGTTTTTTTAAAACCTTGTGAACTGAGTAAATTATATGTAAACGACTGACAAACAAACATGGAAGCCCACTGTCCCATTTTAGAGTGCTACACACTCAATCCTGCTCATATTGAAGACACTGGTAAAGTTGCCCCAGGCCTGAGTAGGGTTGGGCCCTCCAATATACTTATATAAGAGCTTATGGTTACAAACAAGAAATTGTCTTCATTTCCTGCAATTCTGCACAGTTGTTACAATATCTTGCAAAATGTTGTCTCTATTTTCCTTAGAAACCTAGATGGGAGGGGTGGGGGTAGGGGGGGGGGAAATCAAAAATTTAACATATTAGAATTTGGCTTACCCTTTAAATAACCATCTCTATGTCATTTGAATTTATTTTCTTTAAAATCAAGTCCAGCATATATTTCCATATTAGGAGAGGAATAACTCTGTGAAACATCTGCTTCCTCTTGCTACCTACAGCAAACAGACCACCCCCATCTGCTACACCTAGAAACCTATGTAAAACTGTTAGAATAACTCTTTAAAAGTACTGCAAATACAAGTGATTATTCACTTGTGAATGACAGACAGAAATCATTCAAACAGCCACCACACACTAGAAATGCTTTTCAAGATACCTTCTTAAACCATTCACATACTATATAGCAGTGATTTTTCTGTCTTCAGTATTTGATAGGATTATATTTCAATAAGGATGTCTTATTCGTGTCAACCACCTCTGCAGTGAAGAATTAAAACAAGCTCTTGAATATTATACAACACTGCTTTGACGCTAAGATACCTAGGTTTCTCAGAATATTTGGATAATTTTTTTTGAAAAAAATTCAAAAACTAGTTAAAGTTTAGGTGTTACTGTACCTGCGTTGGTCCAAGGTTGTTAGAGAGAGACAAGGTGGGTGAAGTAATCTTTTCTTGGACCAACTTCTGTTGGTAAAAGACAAGCTTTTGAGCTTACATGGAGCTCCTCTTAGGTTCAGACCTGAAGAAGAGCTCTGTGTAAACTCAAAAGCTTGTGTCTTTCACCAACAGAAGTTGGTCCAAGAAAATATATCACCTCATGCAACTTGTCTCACAAAGTTTAGGAGCTTTTGAATGTGTAAACACCACTACACATAGCTGATGAATTCTTATGCCTGTACAACTGTTGGATTTTGTGAGTGCAAGGTCTAACACTTGTGCACATGCAAGTGTTTGCACTTCAGAAGTGTATGTACAAAACTACTTGTGCCTGCACAAGTGGAGACCTGGGGTAACATTTGGCCCGACTAGAGTCAATGACAAGACTCCCACTGACTTCAGTGAGGCCAAGATTTCACCTCTTGAATGCAAGTGCAATAACTGGATCAGACCATGGACTACCTAGTCCAGACTCCTATCTCTGATAGCGGTCAGCAACAAATGCTTTAGAGGCAGGTGCAAGAAACCCCAAAGTAGGCAGATGTGGGATCATCTGCCCACAGTAAAGTCTCACTGTAAACAAAGATCGAATTGGCTTAAGCTCTGAAGCATGAGGTTCTATATCCCTTCCGATACAACAGTTAATGCTGAAAACAGAGTAACTCTGGGTATTCTTTTTATACATATAAACGTATTGGTAATGTCCCAATATGTTATCTATACAATAAATGAAGCCATATGTAACTGTTGGCAACAGACATTGTGAACCTGAAGAGAGACAGTTAGCAATTTGACATAGTACTTTCATCCAGGCCGTTTTAATTCCAGGGAGCAGATACAATAATGGGTACCTGAAAGAGTGACATGGAAAACAGGAGGGAGGGAAGAAGTCTTTGAAATGTTACTCAGAATGTTGGTCAATAAAAGTAACAAACACAAAGAGAGTGAGGCACTCAAAAGTGCAATCATTCTACAGGATATTTATCATGGGACACAAGGTACAGTGAACAACACAGGTAAGTCAGATGCCATGGTCTCACAGTAAACCTCTTGACTTCACCCATTATCTTGACTTTCAGGTGACCCACCGAACATTTAAAATAGCAATATCCATATGTTCAAGGCATGTAAAATACCTGTGTAGCCAAAGCTTTTATGTACATATATGCAGCAAGAAATTATCTAAACTGAGAATACTGGCAAGCATATTGTACAGATTAGGAAATCTTCACGGCTATTTTGCAAGACTTTTCGTACTTATGTCCTGCTCTTATTAACCTCCAGAGATGGTCTAATCCCAAGTTGTGGGCTGACTTCCAGATAACATGGCAGAACAAAAAACCCCAATGCTTATATTATATATTAGAAATGCCAGTATTTATATTCATATCCAGAGAGCTGAAAGCGTTTGTGGACATCACTATTACAAAGCATCTGGGTAAGATAGAACGAACCACGACCAAGATTCCAAGCATGCAAGAACACTATGAAGTCCATTATCCCAATAAAAAGACAAGTACGCTCAGGGAAAGATCAATTTGCAAAAAATCTCTATTTGGAGCCCTTTTCTCTTCAGAGCACAGGAAGAAAAAGGGGAAAACAAGTGGACTTAAAAAAAAAATCCATATTCCTCAATACTTTTATCAAAATAAACTGACATAGATGGATCAGGAACATCTTGGGCATTTGACTTTAATGATTTTGTGTCTGGTACCTCTGATTTTACTAGGCACAATACAAATAGGATTTGACATGTAGTTACTAGATGTCACAAAAACCAAATACAAGATAACTGTATCAAGAGCTGAAGACAGAGGAAAGGAAGTGTTTTGTTATTTAAAAAAAAATTCTCCATGAAAATGTTGCGACAGAAGGGACAAGGTGAAAATTGGAAAGGGAGAAATGTTGCTTTCAGTAAACAGCATAAGTGTGGGGCTTAGAAAAAGGTCAGGTTTCAGAGGGATGATTTTATAAGTTAGAAATACACCTCTGCTGGTGGGTGCTTTTCATTCTACTAGTAAAACATTTACTTCTAGTAAACTGAATTTATGTAGAATGATGATGTATGGACAGTCCATAAACACTCTTACTCCATGTCATACAGAAGCTGATTGAGTATCAGGGAAAGAACATGCATTATTTATAATTAAAAGATGTTAACTTTCTGAAGACTCTGGTTCCTAACCTCCTGTGATGCAGTGGGTCTTGCACCATGGTTCAATTGCCCTGATCTATGATGATGCTGTTTTTCCACACTGAAACCTACTATGGATTCTAGTTTTTTGTTTGTTTTGTTTTTGTTTTTTTAAAAGACAGCTGAAAACCCAAACTTCACTAGTGTATTTTCACAAAAGCAAAAGGAAGGGTTTAAGGAGAAAACAGATGCAAGCCAGCTTCGGAGAATAACCTGGGCTTCTATACTATGTATAATACTAGACCTATAAAGGAAAAGTTCTAGGAAAATGGGCAGTGAGGGTGGACCATCCTGCATGATCACTGGGAAGATTTAGTTCCCTCAGAAAGATGGAGCCATGCAACAATAGAGGGTAAGCTCTTTGGGGGCAGGGACAATCTTTGTGTTCGGTGCTTGTACAGCATCTACAACAACTGGTTCCTGATCTAGGACTGAGGCTCCTAGATGCTACACTACAAGAAGTAATTAAAATACCACCACCAATACAAAATCGCTCTTATTACATAGGAGTTTCATACTTAATATATTAAATATTAAGGGCTATATGCTCAACCACTGTTAGCAGCGCTGCATCCATTTACACCAGCTGAGGATTTGGTCACAAGAGGACAATGGTGGTGCAAGCAAAAGAACAGCAGCCTTTGCATGCTCAGCTTTGAACATTAGAACTCCTATTAAAAGATTAGAGGATATGAGATAACTATGCTAAATTCCTCATACATGGCCTAATTCCACAATAAGTCACCAAGGCGGACCGAACAGATGCCTGTCTACCTGTACACTGGGAGGCAAAAACGAACTGCACCATGCCACAAAGCAGCAAGAAATGGCTGACACTGCTTGGCTGTGCAAGGGCTGCGGGGGCACTCCAAGTCCTCCCCCATGTTATGGCAATTCAAGAATGGAGGCGGTGAGCTATTGCTTACAGTAGCCAGCAGAAACATCTGCATCATTACAGCTTCGGTTCCTGCTTCATGCACAAATTTGAATCAGCAGGGAATGAACAGGTAAATATATTCATGTTAACGTGCAAGGCAGATATCCTGCTAGATGATGCTTCAGTACATTAGGTCCCAGTGACTTGGGAACCATCACAGTCTGTTACATTCCTCATCCCCCACACTTTAGCTAATGAATTAAGTAAGCAGTTTTCCATAATCAGAACAAGGGTAACTATATATCATGATCCTAGCAATGTAAACAGACTGCTGACTTTCTCAGAGAATGTGATACAGTTGTCTACAGTGCTAGTCCCAGTAAAGGCAACAGCAAAATTCCAATTGACTTCAATAGTGAATGGAGATGGCCTAGTGTCCAGAAGTCTGCTGAGACATAGGTGGAGATGGCATGAGTGATGCTGTGACGTTCAGTGAGGAAGATGTGGCCTGCTACCAAGAAGAAATTTGGCTTTCCTGGGTTTTAAAGTGAGCAGACATTAAAGCATATAGTGGTTGATGACTAGCAGGTGAAGATGGGGATGGATAACTCACAATTGATGCTGCAGATACAGGACACTGGTTCTTAGGTGATGCAGAAATGGTCAATGGCATTCCTAGTAAGGACACTGTGATATCTCCAATGTGGGGCAGGGGGAGGACCAGCCCATGCCATATAATTTCACACAACCACATAACGTGACAATATAAGTGAATATTTAGGGGAGCTGCATGGCACAGTAAGGCAGACATTTTCATTATGTGCTTTAAACAGCACCACTTAATAAGATCATTCAGCCTATGAAGCAGCATCAAAATAATGACTTACTTTCTTTCATCATTCATTCAGTCTTAATTACGATGTACACAAAATATAGTAAGCACGCATCATAACTCGCATCACCCTAATCATGAACTACAATAGTATCTACTTGTATGGTGTATTGCATTAAAACATTCTCTCCATGCATCTTAATTTTCTGACAAGTCACAATTATTGAATTTTTGTAGTTCTTAAGAATCTATTGTTCTGTTCTGGAAATATGGTTTAATTGTGTGTGCTAGTTTCAGTAAATATCAACCAAAATTAAACTGAAGGGAAGAGACCAATTTTAAAAAAATTTTTTTACTTGTTTCGTTAAACATTTAGCATCTTTCTGGATGCTTAATAAATAAACGTCTTAAACTGGTATTTCTATAAGGAGACTACATAACTGTTAGGATGAGGACTTGAGAATTTGTCTATGCTTGATTTGCAGGGTCTTAAAGTGCGGTTCCTATCTGAAAACTAAGTGTTGTAACAATGGGTTCTGTGTTATTGTGTCTCTGTGACTCCAGATAACGCATACTGAATTTACAAGGAGAAAAAAAAAATAGATGCCTTCTTTCTTCTCTTATTACCAATCCTGCAAACTCAAAATGAGCTCAGTGTCAAGGTAGGTTCTTTTCGTCTCACATATCATCATTGGTGGCAAAGGTTCTGCAGGCCAATTTTCAAAGATGAACTATACTTGAAAGAATGAATGAATGCTGGTCTGGCACTTTCACACCATGGTGATGGGAACACTAGAAACAACAATACTAATATTCCTTCAACAGACCCATTCATTCAATCTCTAGTTTCTCTGGTGAGAGTCTGCCAACAAAAGTGCCCATTGTGCTTTTTTTGTGTGTGAACATCTGCCCATTAAGAACTCAACTGAGACCACTGCCTTCATTTCACTGGGACTATCCAACGAGCATCCATTGATAGCATGTGAATTGAATTGAGCCAGATTCACACTGCTGACCTAGAGGTGAAAGGCTCCTTAAAGATATCAGAGATTACTTACATTGAACACCTTAACATCCTTCCGACTTCTTATCTCCTCCACGAGACCCAATGGCTTGCCTTTAGGTATTGGTATAGTTCCAAGAATTGTGGTCCCTGAAGCAGTCAGAGTTTGACGAACTGCTTGAATAAAAGACTGGCTGAAGAGTTCCATTTTACCAACCTCATCTATTACGTACACTTTTTTCCCTGTGTCACTACCAAGATCGACCTATAGGAAAGATACACAAATGGATTAAAAAGCACGAAGAAATCAAGACTGAGGTAAGAGCCACTCTTCTCTGTGGGAAAAATGCCAGTTCAGGAGTAACATTTCTTTGAAATAGTGCTGGAGCATAAGGGCAGAAAAGCCAGTCACCCCAGTTGCTAAGGATGCCAGCAGCCAACCACCCTGTTACCTAGCAAAACAACAGGATCCCAGATGGGAAGAAAGGAAGAGCCAACAGTTGTTCCTTGACTGAGATTTGTAGTTTTAGGGCAGCAAACGCCTGATGGCGCAGTCACACAATTTTACATGTTATTTTTCTTAGCATGTGAGTAGTGTAGAATCTTTGAAGATGTAGTATATTGTTTTTAGTTTTGTGATGTAGGTCCTTTTGGGGGAAGCTGTTGGAAACAGCAGGAGAGAATGTTTGCTCCCTAACTAGAGTCAATTCTTGGTGGAGAGTTGCTTCCCATGAAAAAGGAAGTGTTTGGGCTAAGGTTTTAGAAAGAGGAGAGAATGTCTGCTTGTGGTTTGTGACCACCTCTGTTCAATGACTTGTAAAGAACAAGTTACAATAAGAAAATACTTAGACTCCAAATTACTGATATCTTCTCCCAAGAAAACTGACTTGCAAGGCCTCAACATCTGCTACTGCTTGGCAGAGATGTGATAATATTTTTACATGCCAGCTACTGTAGTTAAGTCTGAGGGGCACTAGATTTTTCAAAGCTGCATTCACATCACTGCACCCACAAAACTCTGCATTTGCATGGGTCAACTGGTAAATACACTTATAATTAGGGCAGGGGTTTCCAAACTGTGGTATGCGTGCCATTGGTAGTATAGGAGCTTGATGCTTCATCCATTCACTTCACAACTACTTTTTAAAATGGCACATAAACCAATAAAGTACAGAAATCTGACAGGCTACAGATTAGATGAAAGCGAGCTCACCACCCTCTTCTGAGGCTATTAACTGAAAAATCAAGTTCTATTATTTATGTTTGTAAGCAGCAAATCAACCCAAGTCAAAACTTCACTGTTAATCCATGAATAAGTACAGACACCACCTATGTATGTAACTTAAGGAGAAACCAGTCTACATGTTGTCCCTTGTGAAGCTAGAAAATGTTAGCTCCTACGAAAATGGATGCATTACATAACATATTTCCTAAAACCTTTCAGAGCTGAGTCCCTACTGACGTCTGAGTCCCTGCAGGGTGGTGTAGTTTTATTTAAAACCCTTTCACAGATCAGTGAACTGAAAAGTCAGTTCACTAGGAAAACTAGGAAAAGTGCTAAGAAATGGAGCTGCTTCTTTGTACAGAATCCCCAGTCCCTTCAGGTGAAGTTTCCGGAGCCCCAAACAGAACCCACTTTAGCATCCACTCTCTTTCCCAGTGAAGTCAGTGGGAGCTGGCCCATAGAGTCTAAGCAGTCCCACAAATATGTTAAGTAGCATATACCTGTTTCAAGATGCTCTGTGATCAAAGGAGGCAAATCCAACTCCAAACTGACATTCTACATTTTCCAGTACATTGTAGTGGGGCCTTGGGACTCAGACTAACATCTGATATATTTTGCTATTTCTACAAACTGTCCACTAAAAAGGACTTTAACTATCTGGCATATGCTGCTGTCCCATAGTCCCTACAAAAATATTAGTGAGATCCCTGTAGATTTACTGATAACCATCTAAGATTATTTGTATTATTATACTTCTATTAGCTTACCACCCTTCTGCAATACCTACTCTCCCCTTTAGTTCTTATACACCTCTACCTCGATATAACGCTGTCCTCGCGAGCCAAAAAAATCTTATCACGTTATATGTGAAACCACGTTATGTCGAACTTGCTTTGATCCACCGGAGTGCACAGCCCTTCTCCCGCCCCGGGAGCACTGCTTTACCGCGTTATATCCGAATTCGTGTTATATCAGGGTAGAGGTGTATATTTACTTTGCTTCACCTACCCTTACTTTCCATTGGTCTCTTCCTATTCCAATCTGATGCTGTCCTTCCCTTTCACACTATTCCTTTCCCATTCTGTACCACCTATAGGCAAGATCCTGCTCCCACTGAATCAACAGGACTTTTGCTATTATTTTCAAAGGGAGCAGGATGAGGCCCTTTCCCAATTCTCCAACTCCTCTCTACTCTTGAGTCTCTTTCACACATACACACGGCTCCATTATGCTTGTGAACAAAGTGAATACTACTTGATTCCTTTTAGTAAGATCTGTGTTGTATTTATATTATTAAATAATCACAGTTACATTATCCTTTATAAGTATACGAAGTGCAGCCCTTGTTTAGTGAGGTCTTTTCCCCAGAGATTAAGTTTACTGTAAGTGAGGTTTCATTTTTAAATTTTAAAAAAATCAAAATCTGTAAATATTATTAAGGTCGTCTCTCCCTTTTGTCCTCCTACCCCCTTCACAATCCTTCAATCCTCCCTGTTGCCATACGGTTGTATTTTTGTTCCTTCCCCAAAGTGTTAGATAGGCAAAAAACCTCAACCTCATCTTTGTTTCCTACCCACTCTGTTTCCTTGTCCTCTCCAGGTGCCTTGCAAAATTCTCCTCTCCCCTAGCCTAACCTGCTTTTAGCAATGTAGTTAAATCACCGTCAAAAGGATTTCTCTAGTAGTGGTGTCAGCAGCTGTTGCACTGTTTACTTGAAGATGCTGACAAACGATCTGTTCTAGTTTAATTTTGCGGTGAGGGGTGGGAAAGCAGCAATTCCAGTACGGACGTTATCTATTATTCACTACAAGCACAGTATCTGATGTGTTATCGCCTACCTACTTCACATATAATTCAAACAAACTTCAGATAGCATGTGAAGGGAAGGAAAGAGGAGGATGGAGCACAAAGGAACACATGCACTGGAGGCATTAAGTCATTTCATTGTATTACACTTCAGACACCTGGTTGTGCAAATTTTATCAGCGATATATGTCGTAAGTGAAGAAACACTGTTCCCATTACTATGTGTGTGGAGCCTGGAAACAGAAATTGTAAATCCAGACCCCAGTTTACACTACTGGATGCTGGTGAAAATTCTTTAAAGCTATGTTGACAACACTTGTACCATGGAATGTGCCTTGATCAGATGATACCTAGAATGGAAATTAAAATACAACAACAGAGGTCCCACACTGATGCAGCCAGAGAGCTCCGCAAGCAGCAACAGACCGATCCTCAAATTACTATCAGCAACTGAAGATGTAACAAGTTTGCAAGTCTCTTGAAACAAGGCTAATTAAAAAGGAAAACAATGCTTTAAAAAACCAAACAAACATTGTTTCCACCAGAAACATTCTCTCCACTTTCACAGGAAAGGGAAAGCTAGGAAAAGTGGATCACAGCAAGGGAGAGAGCAGGTTCTGGCTCTGCAGTAAGCTCCCCTTCTTGGGAGTCCATGGAAACTCCTCCACTGGAGCTCTGCAGGAAGAAAGCATACATTTTGTGGGTGCAGGAGTGAATTGAAACAGCAGTTTGCCACAGGAAGATCTGCTGCTGAATCCTCCAATATCCAAGATTGTGGCTCCCTGTCACAGCTGATACGGTGCAGTCATAAGGATGCTTCTACGAGATATGTGCTGCCAGAGGGATGGGGGACCAGGAAAAGTGGTTTTAAGGAGGCAAAGGGATCTCCTGAAAGTCTCACAGATCACAGGAGAACCGCTCCCCCCACCCCCTTCAGATCCTGCAGTGAGTGCAGGACAGCTAAACCTAAAACAAGAGTCATTATCGCTACCCAACAACTTTAACCTAGCAAGCCTTCTTATAATACTCTGTTGTACTTGCTTTCCAGAAGCTTTCATAAGCTACTCACATTTCTCAGCACAGGAAGCACCAAGTGCTCAAATGAAACCAGGTCTACTATGTATTGTCCAACACGATATTCACGTCTTGCAGTAGAAGAATCAGAACTGAATTTACAAAAAAAATTCTTGTAAATAATATGAACCACGAACATGCTGATAATTTGCTGTAATACTTTTAGCTGTGCTGATCGGAGTGGTTATCTAACCAGCCAGATTTCCTTTAAAATTCAACTCCCGCAACCCCTCCAAAAAAAAAAAAAAAAACAACAAAAAAACCCAACAAACAAACAAACCCTATATTGGATATGCTGCAGATGGCAAAACAGAAAATATACAGCTTTTCCTCCTAGTATATAGACACACTGTCATAGGTTAGTCACAGTGTCATCTAAATGTGGTATTAAACATTGTTCAGAAAGACAGATAACAGGGTGAAGAGGCCAAAGTTTTGCATGGAGTGTTAAATGCTGAGAAGATGTCCAGTGAAGCAGGAGAGACTTTGAATTCATATGTATTTTAGACCTCCTATATGGGGATCTGAAATACCTGCCTAGTTAAAAACCCAGTTATGGGATTTATGGGACAGTCAGTGGCTTGTTGTAGACAGCTTATCTGAACTTATCTTCTCTGATTCATGATCATCAGGTCTGTCCCTTAGAAAGTAATTGGAGGAAGCAAGTTATTTTCCTTCCAACCTGAAAAAAATAGTGTCTGAGATCATGAAATCAGCTTGCATGTTCTATTGTTCCATAGGGACTCAGAGCCCATGCTGAAGTCAGAGGACCCAGTTCATTGCTGCTCTGCACCAATGGGAAAGCTGGAGGACCATTCTGAGTTGGTAGGGGGTTTTACGTTAACTTGGCAGAGATGCAAATGTCTCCATAAAGTGAAGGATAACAGTGAGTCAGACCCAGAGAATCTAACAGACAAAGAACGTGATCCTAAAGCCCTCTGTGTGTGGAAATCCCAATGACTTCCAGGGCATTTAATGCATGGAGGGGCTTGCAGGACTGCCCCTAAAGCAGTAGCCACCTTAATCTATAAAACAGCAGTACCCAAGTCTAGATAAAGTTCCTCGTCTCCCAGACAAAGTGATGACATCAAATCCTATCCTCCTGCCGCCTTCTCTGACTTCCTCTGTGTAAAATCCATCAATAGGGACCCCAGAGGATTTTAGGACTTCAGTGGCTTTCTGGATCAATGTTGTCTTTCCAATCCCTAAAATAAGGAAGTGCTCATTATTAGTGCAAGCAAAGCATAAAGCCTGGTTTTAAATTTGCCCATTCTGAGGCAGCAATCACATTTGGCAGACAGATAGCTGGCTGCACACATTTAATACAGATTGAGGTTTTTCCTAATTCTGATTTCTCCAAATATTAAAACTTTTTATCCTGGAGAGGGGAAAAAAGAATGAACAGAAGTCAGGTTTCACATTACATTTTGAATGTTTGTAGGCCTCTGGCATACACAACCTCCCTTTATTCCAGTGCCATTTGTTCTCTTATTGGCAACAAGGTCTGAGTTCATCACATCTTTAGAGTAAATGGTTAAAAATAACTGCATTCCCTATGTGCCTGATTTTCACAGATGCTAGCACAGAGGTGGGCAAACTACGGCCCACGGGCCACATCTGGCCCAGCCCCCGAGCTCCTGGCCTGGCCCCTCCCCCGCTGTTCCCCCTTCCCCGCAACCTCAGCTCCCTCGCTCTGCCACCGGTGCAATGCTCTGGGCGGCGGGGCTGTGAAGTTCCTGGGGCAGCGCAGCTGCAGAGCCTGGCCTGACCTGGTCTCTGTGCTGCGTGGTGGTGGCGGCAGCGTGGCCTGGCTCCAGCCGGGCAGCGCAGCTGTAGCGCTGCCAGCCACCGGTGCTCCAGGCAGCACGGTAAGGGGGCAGGGAGCGGGGGAGTTGGACAGAGGGCAGAGGAGTTCAGGGTGGTGGTCAGGGGACAGGGGTGTGGATAGGGGTTGGGGCCCTGGGGGGGGCAGTCAGGAAGGAGGGGGGTTGGATGGGGTGGCAGGGGTTTCGGGGGCAGTCAGGGGACAGGGAGAAGGAGTGGTTGGATGGGGCAGGGGTTCGGGGGGGGGCAGTCAGGAATGAGAGGAGGGGGTTGGATGGGGCGGTGGGGGTCCGGGGGCGGTCAGGGAACGGGGGGGGAGGGGGCAGGTGTCCCAGGGCGGGGCAGATGGGATGTGGGGGGGCCGGGCCATGACCCCCTCCCCTAACCGGCCCTGCATACAATTTACAAAACCCGATGCGGCCCTCAGGCCAAAAAGTTTGCCCGCCCCTGTGCTAGCATCTGCAGCTCCCATTGGCCTCAGAGGAGCGGTAAGTGCACAGCTCATTGCCTCTGAAAATCAGGCCCTAGAAGACAAAATGACTTCTAATGAAAGGAACTTCTAAACAAACAGAAGGGAAGATAATCCATCCCAAAGTGGATCTAGATATCCTCTCACCACATACCCCACCAGGGGAGGACAGATTGTATTTAATATGCCTCTTCCTCTAAGTGAATGCTGGCAGTCTTCCAGAGGTTCTCTCCAATCCCACAATGGAAGTGTCCCTCCAGGCTACATCACAAATACACCTCTTGGCTGTCTCTTATTTTAAACTCAAATTTACCTCCATCTCATCCGGTGTCAAAATCCGGTGTCATTATTTCATCCCTTTTATCACACCAGTCAGCTGTCTTGTCGTAGCAGATTTATTTATGGATCAAAAGTGTCAAGTATCTGACAGAGCAGGCCTTTAAACTCCTGGAGGCAGAGAGTATGGGCCACATTTTTAAAGGTATTTAGGTGTGTAACAACACAGGCAGATATCTAGTGGGATTTGCAAAAGTTGCCCAGGTGCCTAATTTGATAGGGATTAGACACCTAGGCCCAGATCCTCAAAGGTACTGGGGCTCCTAACTGTTGATTTAAATGATTTAATGGAAGCTAGGAGCCTCTGAAGATCTGGGCTATAGGCATTTCTGAAAATCCAAATAGGCGCCTATCTGCATCTTTAGGCACCTACATGCCTTAAAAAATCTGTCCCATAGTCTATTGTGTCTTGTACAGCACAAGCATACTAGCATAATTATTATTTGTATTACTGTAATGCCTAAAAAGCAACAGAGGGTCCTGTGGCACCTTTAAGACTAACAGAAGTATTGGAGCATAAGCTTTCGTGGGTGAATGCCCACTTCATCAGACACAAGTAATGGAAATTTCCAGAGGCAGGTATAAATTAGTATGGAGATAACAAGGTTAGTTCAATCAGGGAGGGTGAGGTGCTCTGCTAGCAGTTGAGGTGTGAACACCAAGGGAGGAGAAACTGCTTCTGTAGTTGGATAGCCATTCACAGTCTTTGTTTAATCCTGATCTGATGGTGTCAACTCAATGCCTAGGAGCCATGCCTAGGAACCCTAGCCATGGCCCAGGACACCCTTGTGTAAGGCGCTGTACAAACACAGAACAAGAAGACTGCCCCATAGAGCGCCATATCTAAGTAATAAAGGTAGCAGTCATTTTATCCTCAGATACCAATCCAATCTGTATTACAGTTTGCATGGGGTTAGCCTAGGTAAGGTTAGAGTTTTTTTAAAACAGTTGTACCAGCAACATATCATGGTGGTGAGTAACAAAAATGCCTATATTTGACTTACCGTACTTCAAACCAATTTGTAAAACTCTAAACATCTTTAGACCGTCTCTTTAGTGAGATTTATACTAGATGTTAAAAATGCTCCATGCTAAATATAGTTTTCTAATCTGTTATTGGTTTTAGTAATTACTTCTGCAGTTTACAGCTTTGCAACAGTTGCAATGGATATTGAAAAGAATGAGAAATTAATGAGATTAATACCTGTACTTCATTTTTCTCACTAATCACATGTATTATCTTTGTATAACTATATTAATCTATAACTATATTAAACCAAAAAAAAAAACCCTAATCCCTTTACATTTTTTGAAAAACCTGAGACCATACATTTTTAACAAAGACCATTCCTTTGAGATTAGTGGCTAAATGAGGTGCACGTATTCTGGTGGGCTGCACAGAAAATAAAATAGATGATGAAGAAGAATGTCCCTCACAAAGTTATGCCCCATCCAGCATTAGCTTTCACAGAAACCAACGGCTGTTAAGCCTTAACTTAAAAATTGTTTTCTAACATGCTGTTGGCAGAATGATGTTTCTCACCCTGTAATACAACACCACCCTGTTAAATAGAGAAATCTAATGATTCTATTACTATCTAATGTTTCTCTAAACAAAAGCTCAGGGTTGTAATGATTATTGTTTTGTCTATGATGTTTACATGGCAAGGATTTGTGAATCTGTTAAGACTTCCTAAATGAACAAACAGTTTTAAAAAATTGTTTTCTAAGGGGCCAATATTTAGGCAAATCTCCAGCTGGCTTCATTGGGATCAGCAGCAGGTCACAATACAGAGGAAACTGTAGTATAAATGAAGCCAAAATGACAGTGAGCATTCAAATCAAAATAAAATGACTAGTATGGCAGTATCAGCTTCCTCGGCACTCGGAGGCCTTGTCTACATGAGACAAGTTG